TGTCCATGGGTGGTGACATGTGGCCAAGGGGACATGGCCATGGATGGGGGCATGTGGCCTGGAGGACACATCCATGGATGGTGACATGTGGCATGGAGGACATGTCCATGGGTGGTGACATGTGGCATGGAGGAACATGTCCATGGTTGATAGCATTTAGCCCAGGGGACACATTCATGGATGGTGACATGTGGCCCAAGGGACGTGTCCATGGGTGGTGGCATGTGGCATGGAGGGACGTGTCCATGGGTGGTGGCATGTGGCATGGAGGGACGTGTCCATGGATGGTGACATGTGGCATGGAGGAACATGTCCATGGTTGATAGCATTTAGCCCAGGGGACACATTCATGGATGGTGACATGTGGCATGGAGGAACATGTCCATGGTTGATAGCATTTAGCCCAGGGGACACATTCATGGATGGTGACATGTGGCATGGAGGAACATGTCCATGGTTGATAGCATTTAGCCCAGGGGACACATTCATGGATGGTGACATGTGGCATGGAGGAACATGTCCATGGTTGATAGCATTTAGCCCAGGGGACACATTCATGGATGGTGACATGTGGCATGGAGGAACATGTCCATGGTTGATAGCATTTAGCCCAGGGGACACATTCATGGATGGTGACATGTGGCATGGAGGAACATGTCCATGGTTGATAGCATTTAGCCCAGGGGACACATTCATGGATGGTGACATGTGGCATGGAGGAACATGTCCATGGTTGATAGCATTTAGCCCAGGGGACACATTCATGGATGGTGACATGTGGCCCAGGGGACATGTCCAGGGGTGGTGGCATGTGGCATGGAGGGATGTGTCCACACCAGGATGTTGACATGTGGCTCAGGGGACACATCCATGGGTGGTGACACATGGCCCAGGGGGACGTGTCCACACCAGGATGGTGACATGTGGCCCAGGGTTTGTGTCCATGGATGGTGACATGTGGCCCAGGGGACACGTCCATGGGTGGTGGCATGTGGCATGGAGGGACATGTCCATGGATGGTGACATGTGGCCCAGGGGACATGGCCATGGATGGTGGCATTTGGTGCAGGGAAACTTGTCCATGAGTGGTGACATGCGGCCCAGGGGGACAGGTCCATGGGTGGTGACACAGGGCCCAGGGGACATGTCCATGGGTGGTGACAGGTGGCATGGAGGAATGTGTCCATGTCAGGATGGTGACATGTGGCCTGGGAGGACACTTCCATGGGTGGTGAGATGTGGCCCAGGGGATGTGGCCATGGATGGTGGCATTTGGCCCAGGGAAACGTGTCCATGGGTGGTGGCATGTGGCATGAAGGGACATGTCCACACCAGGACAGTGACATATAGCCCAGGGGACGTGTCCAGGGGTGGTGGCATCTGGCATGGAGGGACGTGTCCATGGATGGTGGCATGTGGCATGGAGGACACATCCATGGGTGGTGGCATGTGGCATGGAGGGATGTGACCACACCAGGATGGTGACATGTGGCCCAAGGGATGTGTCCATGGATGGTGACCCGGGGCCCAGGGGGATGTGACCACACCAGGATGGTGACATGTGGCCCAGGGGACATGTCCAGGGACTTTGACACGTGGCCCAGGGAACACGTCCATGGATGGTGACATGTGGCCCAGGGGACATGTCCATGGATGGTGGCATGTGGCATGGAGGACACATCCATGGGTGGTGATATGTGGCCCAGGGGATGTGCCCACCTCAGGATGGTGACATGTGGCCCAGGGGACATGTCCATGGATGGTGGCATTTGGCCCAGGGGACACGTCCATGGATGGTGGCATTTGCCCAGGGGGACGTGTCCACACCTGGACAGTGACATGTGGCCCAAGGGACATGTCCAGGGGTGGTGGCATGTGGCATGGAGGGATATGTCCACACCAGGATGGTGACGTGGCCCAAGGGACACGTCCATGGGTGGTGGCATGTGGCGTGGAGGGATGTGTCCACACCAGCATGGTGACATGTGGCCCAAGGGATGTGTCCATGGATGGTGATCCGGGGCCCAGGGGGATGTGACCACACCAGGATGGTGACATGTGGCCCAGGGGACACGTCCAGGGGTGGTGGCATGTGGCATGGAGGGATATGTCCACACCAGGATGGTGACGTGGCCCAAGGGACACGTCCATGGGTGGTGGCATGTGGCGTGGAGGGATGTGTCCACACCAGCATGGTGACATGTGGCCCAAGGGATGTGTCCATGGATGGTGATCCGGGGCCCAGGGGGATGTGACCACACCAGGATGGTGACATGTGGCCCAGGGGACACGTCCAGGGGTGGTGGCATGTGGCATGGAGGGACATGTCCATGGATGGTGACATGTGGCCTGGGGGGACACATCCATGGATGGTGACATGTGGTATGGGGGGACATGACCACACCCAGGACAGTGACATGTGGCCCAGGGGACACATCCATGGGTGGTGGCAAGTGGTATGGAGTGATGTGTCCATGTCAGGACGGTGACATGTGGCCTGGGGGGACACTTCCATGGATGGTGACATGTGGCCCAGGGGACATGTCCATGGATGGTGACATGTAGTCCAGGGGACAAGTCCATGGATGGTGGCCCAGGGAATGTCTCCATGGATGGTGGCATGTGGCCTGGAGGACACATCCATGGGTGGTGACACGTGAGGGGGACACTTCCATGGATGGTGACATGTGGCCCAGGGGACATGTCCATGGTTGGTAGCATTTAGCCCAGGGGACACATCCATGGATGGTGACATGTGGCCCAAGGGATGTGTCCATGGGTGGTGACATGTGGCCTGGGGGGACACATCCATGGGTGGGGACACGGGGCCCAGGGGTACATGTCCACACCAGGATGGTGACATGTGTCCCCACACACACACACACACGTGTTGCAGAGCCACCCCCCGCCGGAAGTGTCCACACAATACACACGTGTGTCACCGTGACACACGCCCCCGTGTCCCTGTGTCCCGCCCCCGGGGCCGAAGTCCAGGGAGGCCCCGAGAGGGGACACGATGATGGGAGCCACCTCCTGCACCATGTTCTCCTGGTTCCTCCTGGCCCTGAGCATCTTCCCCCGGCCTGGCACAGGTAGGGACACACCACCACACGCTTCCACATGCTTCTACACGCCACCACATGCTTCTACACGCCTCTACACGCCTCCACACGCCTCCACACGCCACCACACAGCAGGAAATTAACCCTTTTCCTGGGTTCTTGCCCCCTCCTCTGGGTGCTTTCGCATTGCTCTGGGTGCAGTCACCCTGTTTTGGGTGCGTTGCTCCGGTTTTGGGGTGGCTTTCACCCTTTTCTGGGTGCACTCGCCCACTTTTGGGGTGCTTTCACCCCGTTCCAGGTGCCTTTCCCCCTGTTTTGGCTGCTTTCACCCCGTTCTGGGTGCCATTCCCCCTGCTTTGGCTGCTTTCACCCTGTTTTGGGTGCGTTGCTCCAGTTTTGGGGTGGCTTTCACCCTTTTCTGGGTGCACTCGCCCACTTCTGGGGTGCTTTCACCCCATTCCGGGTGCCTTTCCCCCTGTTTTGGCTGCTTTCACCCTGTTTTGGGTGCCTTCGCTCTGTTTTAGGTGCTTTCACCCTTTTCTTGGCTGTTGGCGCCCTCTTCTGAGTGTTTTCACCCTGATTTGGGTGCCTTCCCCCTGTTTTGGGTGCTTTCACCCTATTTCGGGTGCTTTTCACCCCTTTTTGGCTACTTCCCCCTCTTGTTTTGGGAGTTTTCACCCAGTTTCAGCTGCTTTCATCCTGTTTTGGCTGCTTTCACCCGTCTCCACACGCCTCCACACGCCACCACACAGCAGGAAATTAACCCTTTTCCTGGGTTCTTGCCCCCTCCTCTGGGTGCTTTCGCATTGCTCTGGGTGCAGTCACCCTGTTTTGGGTGCGTTGCTCCGGTTTTGGGGTGGCTTTCACCCTTTTCTGGGTGCACTCGCCCACTTTTGGGGTGCTTTCACCCCGTTCCAGGTGCCTTTCCCCCTGTTTTGGCTGCTTTCACCCCGTTCTGGGTGCCATTCCCCCTGCTTTGGCTGCTTTCACCCTGTTTTGGGTGCGTTGCTCCAGTTTTGGGGTGGCTTTCACCCTTTTCTGGGTGCACTCGCCCACTTCTGGGGTGCTTTCACCCCATTCCAGGTGCCTTTCCCCCTGTTTTGGCTGCTTTCACCCTGTTTTGGGTGCCTTCGCTCTGTTTTAGGTGCTTTCACCCTTTTCTTGGCTGCTGGCGCCCTCTTCTGAGTGTTTTCACCCTGATTTGGGTGCCTTCACCCTGTTTTGGGTGCTTTCACCCTATTGCAGTTGCTTTCACTTTGCATTCACCCACCCCTGGGTGCTTGCACCCTGGTTTGGGTGCAGTCCTCCTTTTCTTGGTGCATTCACTTTGTTTTGGGTGCTTTCTCCCTGTGTTGGGTGCATTCACCCTGGTTTAGGTGCATTCACCCTGTTTTGGGTGCATTCACCCTTTTCCTGGGTGCTTGCACCCTCCTCTGGCTCCTTTCGCCCAGTTTTGGCTGTTTTCCCCCAATTTTGGCTACTTTCACCCAGTTTTGGGTGTTTTCTCCCTCTGTTTTGGCTGCTTTCATCCAGTTTTAGGTGCTTTCCCCCACCTGTTTTAGCTGCTTTCACCCCATTTTAGGTGTTTCTCCCCCTGTTTTAGGTGCTTCTCCCCATTGTTTCAGGTGCTTTCAGCCTATTTTAGGTGCCTTCGCTGTGTTTTGGGTGCATTCACCCTTTTCCTGGGTGCTAGCGCCCTCCTCTGGGTGCTTTCTCCCTCTGTTTTGGCTGCTTTCACCCAGTTTGGGGTGCTTTTTCCCCCTGTTTTGGGTGCTTTCACCCTATTTCGGGTGCTTTTCACCCCTTTTTGGCTACTTCCCCCTCTTGTTTTGGGAGTTTTCACCCAGTTTCAGCTGCTTTCATCCTGTTTTGGCTGCTTTCACCCTATTCTGTGTGCTTTTCACCCCACTTTGGCTGCTTCCCCC